CCTGAATCCGTGAAGACCAACCTTTCATGTCGGCAGGAGCATCCGGGGGGTTTGCGAGGCTGTTTTTTTGGTAGGGTGCCGCCGGGCGGGTCCAGGCCCGGGAGACGGCGCAAACTCCGGCCGGCATCGCAGCGTTTGCTCCGCCGTTCTCTCGCTGCAGTGCTGCAGCAAGCGTCTCGTGCAGTCGGCCGACAGTCTTGCCTGAACACGCAACCGTGGCTTGGGCAAATGCATGGCTGTGGGCCCCCAACCTCCCAGCTCCCGACAACCAAAAGGACGAATTGGATGCTTCTGCCCAGGTGAGGCGGTGCCAGGCCAGGTTTTGCAAGCCTGCGGCTTGCGCGCGGGCTGCGAAGTTGGAATGCAAGCGGTGGTGGTGCTTGAGCTTGGCCTATCACTTTCAGTGATGCCCAATTGTCGGGACATTTTTGACAGACCTGCTGTTGCTCTTCGTCGTGCGCGGCACTGTTTGGCACGTCAGGGTGCCGACAACAAGTGGCCCTTGCTTTTGCACATGCAATCGCCAAGAGTCTGTTCAGCGAGGGCAATAAAGGCATCAACAACTTGTTGCACACCATGCCACAAGGACAACCAATCCGCGACGACTTCGACGTGGTGGTCATCGGAGACCAGAACATCGATGTTCATGTCGGCCAGGCGAACGTTGCGGGCGACCCTCGCCCCGACTTCATGGCACACCCTCGACCGCCGAGCACACCAGACGCCGCACATGCAGCCCTGTGGCCGCCGAGTGGGTCGAGGCGACCTCGGCAAACGCACGTGAAAAAAAAACAAATCAAGCGCAAGTGCGCGCGCCCTCGTCACTGGCACTGGCGAGCTCGCTGGAATTCCCCAAACTCGCACTCTTCCTGCCCTGGCCGTGCCTGCGCCAGCGAATCCCACGCGCGAGCATCGTAGACTTGCTGTGAGAGGCAGCGCGGTCTCGATGGAGGACTGCGGTGCGCGGACCAAATGAGCGGCTGCCAGTGGCGCCCATGCACTTTCGATGGTCGACAAGCAGTTCGCCCAGGAGGCCCAGTAGGAGGCGGCGGGGACGGCGTCGACGACCCCAGGCAGTCAAACCGCAAAGGGAAGGCGCTGCGAGGGCAGTGGCTGCGTGGGCAGGGAGGCCTGTGACCGCAAGGTCGCTAGGCATGCGCGAACTGCAGCGTCGTCCAGTGAATCAGAAGACTCATGCCAGCACACCTCTACAGTGAATCGGACCATGGTAAACAGACGCCGCATGTCTTTGCGCCAAGCGGGAGCATCCGAAGCAAGTAGTTTGCACACGGAGAGGCGCAGAAGAGCAGGAGGAGCCACGCGCACTGCAGCTCCCATGCTCCTGGGTCTCCCGTTTGCATGGTCCTGGGTCTCCCGTTTGCGGTGCAGCTCCGCACGAAAGCTTCGCTTCCGAGCGGTGCTCCCAGCACCAGTAGCCCTTGCTGGTCTGCCGGCCGAGCACCCAGACTGGCTCTGCACCAACTGGTTGGAGACAGGCAGGCCGGGCCGGCTTCGTCAGAGAACCTACCCCCGAGTTCAGCCGGCTCCAGCCAGGCTATGTGTCATCGTCTTCGAACTCGGATGCCGATGGTGCGCCCAGGCTCTTCTCCGCCAGCTCGCGTTCATGTCAGCCAGGCGCACGTTGCGGGCGACCCTCGCCCCGACTTCATGGCACACCCTCGACCGCCTGCTCGAGAGGAAGGGCTCGAGATGCGAGCACGCCGGACGTCGCACATGCAGCCCTCTGGTCGCCAAGTGGGTCGAGGCGACCTCGGCAAGCGCACGTAAAAAAATGCAAATCACATGCACTTTCGATGGTCGACAAGCAGTTCGCCCAGGAGGCCCAGTAGGAGGCGGCGGGGACGGCGTCGACGACCGAGCACACCCCCAGGCAGTCAAACCGCAAAGGGAAGGCGCTGCGAGGGCAGTGGCTGCGTGGGCAGGGAGTCCTGTGGCCGCAAGGTCGCTAGGCATGCGCGAACTGCAGCGTCGTCCAGTGAATCAGAAGACTCATGCCAGCACACCTTTACAGTGAATCTGACCATGGTAAACAGACGCTGCATGTTTTGCGCCAAGCGGGAGCATCCGAAGCAAGTAATTTGCACGCGGGGAGGCGCAGAAGAGCAGGAGGAGCCACGCGCACTGCAGCTCCCATGGTCCTGGTCTCCCGCTTGCGGTGCAGCTCCGCACGAAAGCTTCGCTTCCGAGCGGTGCTCCCAGCACCAGTAGCCCTTGCTGGTCTGCCGGCCGAGCACCAACTGGTTGGAGACGGGCCGGGCCGGCTTCCGCGGCCGCGCACGCTAGGCGCAGCAAGTTCAGCGAAACGCATCCCGCATTTCGCGTGGCAGAGAACCTACCCCCGAGTTCAGCCGGCTCCAGCCAGGCTATGTGTCATCGTCTTCGAACTCGGATGCCGATGCGCGCTCGTGCTCCTACACCGCGGCTGCGTCGGCCCCGAGCAACCTGCCTGTATGCTTCTGAGCAACACTGGTCGTACCGGACGCACAGCCATCGGCAGCAAAGGAGATCTCCGAGACGCTGGATGAGGATATGCCATGACCAGTCCCCAGTATTCCCCAGTCACAGGTCTTGGCTCCCTTGGCAACAGGCGCGTCCGCCAAGCGTCCAGCCCGGCCTTCGGTGTTCTTGGCTATTTGCGCCCTTGCTGCATGCAGCCGCCGGCCACCTCACCAAAGCGGCCGACCAAGCATGGCGGGTCCAGCAGCTTGCCCACAGCCCTTCGAAGGGTAGCCGATGCTGTGAAACACACCTTCCAGAGCAGGAGTCCCTTGTTGAGCCGCTCGTCCTGACCAATCGCCATATTGAGGTCACAGCATGGGCATTCTTCGGCGACATAGAACTGTGCGAGTCCGCCACCCAGCTTCCTCCCTGCAGGCCATGCCCCCCTCATGCGGGCGGCAGTTCGCAAAGCATTGACAATGGCTCTGACACGTCTGCTTGCAACGCACACGGAAGGTCGACGCATGCCGTCAGCACGCCCAGAGCAACAAGGCTCGCAACGTCGAGGCGAATGGGGACAGCTACTCGCCGCCGCACGGTGAGTTCTGGAGCTGTTGACGGAGCTCGGCCCTGATGTCGTGGTTTTAGTTGTTTGTCGCATCTTCCTTTCGCCGGTCACGCGCTGCCATTGCGGCCGTACCGAAAGACCACGGGCAGCTAGGTCCCAGGATGGAGACGCGGGACACTTTCCAGGCCGAAAAAAAGGTGCCGCAAAAAAAAAAATTCTCCGCTGCAGGGCTGTTTTGCCAGCTTGCACGCTTTCCCCTCCATGGCCGCACCAACGCTGATGGCGATCCGCCGCTCATGGCGATCCGCCGCTCCTCAGTGAGGTCCTCCTCTTGCCAGCCGCCTGCCGTAGTTCTGCCGGGGCGCGGCGTATTGAGGAGCTGCACAGGGACCGTGACGAACGGTGCAAAAAAAACTTGGCGTCTGGACAATGCCGCCGCGTCTTGGCGCGCCAGACACGCTCCCGTTGAGCGACGTGCTCGACCTGGCGAGTGCGAGCGCCCCCAGTCGGCTGCCGCTTCGCTAGCACTCCGTAGGAGTCTAGGTAGCTGACGTCGTAGGGACTCGGGACGCTTTCGGCGGACGCAAAAGGGCGCGGAAAAAAAAAAACGTGCGACGGAAGGTGGTTTTGTCCGGGGCATGCTTCGGCACAAAGGTTGGGAGATGCTGTGGTGGGTTTGGAGGTTTACCGGCGGACTTTACCCATGGATCCCTGATGGCACGTTGCACGACAAAGGCCGCTGGCCGTTGAGCGCCCGTATGATGCCTGCAAAACTCCTGCGAATAGAAGCCTGAGTTTATCGAGGCGGTCCTTTTGGCAAGAGAGCCTCTTGACAGCGTCAGCTGGGCGCGTGTCGTCATGTCATGGTGCAAAGGTCACGCAACGCAACAACCGCTGACAAGGAGAAGGGGCACGTCGCGAAAAGAAACTTACGCAAACTAAGCGCGAAGAGCTACCTGAGGGCGAAACAGCAGCAGGACCAGGATTGGGCGCGACGCCAAAAAGTTTATGCTCGTCGAGTTTTATGCACTTTGACGTCACGTTGCAGGAAGCTTCCGAGCACATCTGCGGCCATGCGTCCCGCCATTCATGTGGGTACACGCCGCCCTGGCAGTACGATCGGACTCCCTGCCGATGTTGCCGACGCAGCTTACATAGCTTCATGGGTCGCTGCTCATGAGCTGCCCAGTGAGTGCGTCCATGTCGAGTGGGGGAATGGGCGTGTAGCGGGTCGAAAGCATGCTGTGAGAAGTGATGGTGGTTGGTTCCATTGTATGTGACGGCAGGTTTTCTAGTTGACAAGTCGACAGTGTACCTGCCCTTGTCAGTTGTGTGAGTTGCATGGCAGTCTACCGAACTTGCCATGATGGTTTGCGTTCGGGAGAGACGGGGGCAGGACTCTAAGGTTGTTCTGCGCGAGAGGAGTGGACATCCACTTCCTGAGATGCTAACAGTGCAACCTTCTCGAGGCAATCATTGATGCTGACGAGGTGACGAGGTTTCGGGATATTTTTAAGTGCTTGTGATCTTTTCGAAGTTTCGGTTCGTGACCGGCTGCATGCTTGGCTTTTGCATTTGAGTCAGTCGGTGATGTACAAGTTCGTTCATGGGACCAGATTTCTGCAATAAGGAAGGCTGTCCGTACTACGTCTGCCGTGGCATTTGGTGAGACGCTGAGGGGACCGAGTCCTTTGAATTTTGGTGTGACAGTGGCCATAATTTTGAAGTGCTACTGTTAGATCACGGGCCCAGGTGCTTGCAGATCAGGAGTGATAACAACCTTTGCGGAGAGAAATGCAGAGTCCTTGTTGCTCACGGTCTTCCGGCACCGTCGCAGTCTTCGGAGCACATGTGCACTCGCTTGATTTGAAGTGTGCACCGTTTGCGCCCCAACAGCACTGCATGAACCCTTGGCTTTGGCTGTCGCGGTATTTAGTAGCACAGGTAGGACCACAGCCGTGTTCTTCAGAAGATGGGCTCCACCCAGTCCGGCGCCGCGCGGTATGCAGACCGCCCAAGCGGCACCAACCTCACAGCCTGCCCAGGTTCAAGCCTTGCAACATTCCTCGTGAAGAGGCCTGACCAGCTGTCAGCAGCCTTCGAAAAACATGTTCACGAGGACCTGCGTCGTGATCTGGGTGGGGTTGTGCTGCTGTGCAACGGGTACACTGCTGACCAAGTGAAGGGTTGGTCCTCCAAACTCGACTGCCCGGTCATGTTTGTTGGCTGCTACGGCGTCATTGGGTGGTGTGTTGAAGACAAGGAGAACGTGGAGTTCGAGGAGAAGGGCCGTGGCCGGGAGTTCGGTTCGCCAGGCGCACCGGAGATCAAGCTCGGCATCACGGTTGTGGTGGTCCGGAAGAGTTCAAAAAAGAAGAAGTGCCCCGTGCTGTCCTTCTCGCCTGAAACGGTTCCCAAGGCGGCCGATGGGGCCACGGCTCACATTCTCATGGGCTCGGTCACCCACCAGGCGACAATCGACAAGCTGCTCACGTCTCCTGACCACTGCGTTTGCAACGGCGGCTGTTGCAAGGAGGTGCTGGAATGGAGCAACGGTGACGGCCAATGGGTGGACAAAGGCTTTGGGACGATCACTTTCTTCGTGACAGAGTCGACCATGGTGAACGTGTGCATCTCATACAGCGTTTGGGACACATGCGGGCTGCCGGCCTTCAAGTCGGAAGCAATGGAGATGGTGCAGTCTTTGCCAGAGAACTATGCTCCGGTTTTTGTCGGCTCTTACATGTGCTTCTGCCGAGGCATCAACACCTTTGGGTGTTACAACAAGGAGTCGAGTCTGCTGGCCGAGTTGTGCGGCAAGGATCTCCCAAGCTTCGGCATGTTTTGTTGCGGGGAGATCGGCAACAATGAAACCCAGAATCCAAATGGATGGAATTCTCAGACCCCTGCCTCCGAGAACAGCTCCTACCACACCTTCACCACCTGTTATCTGGTCTATGCCGAGAAGATTGCAGAGGCGCCAGCAGGCGGTGGTATCCGTGGTCTTTGCTGTGCACCCAAGGAAGAAGGCCCTATCGAGGTTATCCAGGCCGTACCGGCATTGCAGCGATCGCATACCAGCGGCGCCATCACCGTGCACCAGTCGATCACAGAGAGGGACTTGGAGTTTACCTTCGAGCCCCCTGCCACTTCCACCTACAAGGACTTCCAGCGCAGCGTGAACTTCGCAGACGTCGCCCACCCGGCAGCGCCCGTCATCAACTTTTGGGTCTGGGACGGAGGGATGACGCCCGAGGAGTGCTACAGCAAGTCCAAGCCCAATCCCGAAGTGGACATCTTCCTGTCCCACTCCATGAAGCAGGACATGCGCACCCCGGTCTTTGCCATGAGAGAGTCGAACCAGTACACGCTTCACAAAGTGGCCGACATCTTTGCGGGTTCCTGGGGCATCGTGTCGAGAAAGGTTGCCAGTGGTGAGATTCGTGAGGACCAAGTCATGGAAAAGTTGCAAAGTTTGACCTACTGGTGCGACACAGGCTGCGTGGACCACTCCGATACCGCAAAGAAGATGTACATCCTTAAGGCGCACTTGGAAGACTTCGTGGCCAACGCGAAGCATGTGATCTGCCTCCTCTCAACCCACTACTTCACACGAGCATGGTGCCTCTATGAGTTCTGTTGCGCAGTCAAGTGTTGCAAGGGCAGGCGGATCGACCAGTACCTCGTCATTTCCACGACGTTGCTGACCTGGTTTGAGCGAGAGGCTCAGCGGGTCGTGGATTCTGTGGTCAACGCCTCGTTCGAGAACTCCTCGTGCTTCGACTCAGCAGACAAGAAGCTCATCCAGAACAAGATCAACGCCGAGTTCAAATCTGTGGCCCACTTCAACCGCCTGGTGAAGTTTGTCGCCTGCGCGTTGGGTGCCAAGGCGAATCTGTGCTGGGCTGTTGAGCTGTTCCCCGGGCGCTTCCTGGACTGGGGTGATGCAGCCTCCCGTTGTGGGTTTCCCGACCTGGCTGCGGTCTTGCAGGCGGTGGACCTGAAGGACTTGCGCAAGAGAGCCATGGAGGCAGTGCCAGACGCTCCTGGGGCGACCTCTGCGAAAGAGCGCATCGTATGGTTGGAGAGCAATTTTTCGAGCGACTGGTTCATTCGAGAACTCGAGCCATTGGTCGTGAGAGAGCTTGACAATGCATGTGCTGAAGACCAGCCATCACCGTGAGAGCTCACCGAGGCTCACCGACCAGCTACGGTAATTTCCGTAGCTTGTCGTCCATTACTCATTGAGTCGATCCGATTGGATACCTTCTCACGGAGCTTTGTTCGCACATTTAGGGGCTAGTTGAGCATACCCTGCCCAGATTACTTGACAAGGCGAGTTGTGACAGGCTCGTATGCACCGTTGGTACATATGGCTAGATTCACTCACTCAGTCACTTACTCTTTGCGCACGAAGAATTTGTCAAGTCGGGTCAGGGCCCGGGCCCTTTTCCAAAGAATTTTCTTGGCTATGCTCAGCTGCTGCCCCTCACAGCACATCGAGAACCTTTTCAGCACATCGAGAAACAAAAGCACTCGAGGGATCAATGAGTGCCTTGGAGGTACACATGCTTGGGCATCCAAAAAGCGCAAGATGTCGGCACGCCGCTTTTTGCTCCCAAGCCGTGACGCAATGGTCGAGGCAGTGGCACTATCCACTCGCAAACCTTGCCATGGACTCCATTCTGGCAAGTCATGCAAGCCAATGCAAGCAGGTCACTGCGAATGTCTCCTGTGAAAACACTCGTTTCTCCCAGTTCCAATTGTTGGGTACCGGAACAGTGGGAACGTTACTTGGCTCAAGGGTCTTAAAATGTCTGAAACACTTTAACATGCCCAGGCTCCGGCTCCGAAACGCAACTGCAGGAGCTTTTGCTTTGCTTTGGACTGCCCAGGCACTCTCAGGGAGGTCTATGACTGGTGCTGAGCTTTACATGTCCCCCGAAGGATCACCCCAGCGTGTACCCCAGGCTTATGGAGGTCTATTTTTGGAAAGCTCCGGCCCAGGCTTCTCCAGCATTGGCAGAAAGCAATCGCTGGCTGGCGTGCTCAGAAGGGTACTTCTGAGAGCTGAGCGAAGTTGTAATTGCACGTGGCAATGCCAGCTACCAGGCGGACAGCCCGGCCACTCCGGTTACTCCGGATGCTCCGGACAAGTCCTTGTCATCGCTGCAGGGGACAGACACGACCCCTCGGCGAGCTTTATGGCAGACCTCGTCTATCCAGACGGCGTTTCGATCTCTCAACAGAACAGACCTGTGGCGGATCCAGAGCAGCCAAGATCAGCCAAGCTGAATCTGCCGAGATGCGCCCCTCGAATCGACAAATGCAGTCTAGGTTGCGTCTCAAGCTTAGGCAAAGAGATTGCATGTCCCCCAGGATCGCCGCGAGCACGCCTGTAGCGAAATGCACGAACGAGCATATGATGCAGCATATGGGATCAAAGGGCGGTTCCTGGGGTTTGGGGGAAGACCAGTTATGCCAGCAGCTATGGCGTCGGTGGCAGCCATGTGTTCCATGGATGAGCTCTCCTCATCCGTGGATGCGGTGGAGCAGCAGCTGGATGCTCTCCAATCACTCCGTAACGATGTGGAGATGTTTGCGCAGAAGATGAAGAGCAAGCTCAGCAGTATGGAAGATGCACTGCAGAAGAAGGTGGAAGACGTGTCAGAAGAAGAGCCCCTTGCCATGCTTGATTGGGCCTAAAAGCCATGTAGTAAGGCCTCAAGCAGAACAGCGTTCAGACACCTGCCCAGCTGCGAAAACGCCCCTCTGGAAAACTGTCGCTTACCGGAAGTTTTGGCCATTTTGGCCATTGGCAGTTTGAAGCCCAAGCTCAGACCATGACCAGCCTTGACCAGCCATGACCTGGAGGCCTGGATCAAGAGACACTCCGAGACGCCCGCAAGTGCCCGCAGCGTTGCTTCGGCGAGTTTTCTGTGCAGGGCTGTCAAGGACACTAGATCGGAAAAACACCTATTCAAGCTCACCCCCTACTTTGATGAGTTCAGAGAGTTCTCAAAGATCAGTTCCCGCGCATCTCAAAGCACAGCAACACAAGGAGTTGCAAGAAGCGAAGGAGGGAACTGAGAGAACCCTTCCGTTCTACCGGGGTCGGGGTGTCAGGTACTTCAACTTAGTAATGCTGAGTAGTGCTGCTTTGTGTTGTTATTCTGAACGTGTACAGTCTGAAAGCTCGACTTCTTTGGCTGCAGCGTGGTGTCAGCTAGCCACATCAAGCCGACGCCCAGGCTGATCCAGCATCGGCAGCAGAAAGCCAGCGCTGGCTGGCAGCCAGCCTCGAAGGGGGACTTCGGGGCTTCTGAAAGGGGCTTTCCGGTTAAGTTCTCAAACGGCCACGGTCTCGGAGGATCCTGCAAAAGGCTAAAGCTGTCACTTGCGAAGTAGATGGACCCACAAGGTACGAGCCACAGAAATCTGCGAGAGTCTTTGTCACGCAGACGACCACGCTTCTGAGCAACACGAAAGAGGCCAAACTGCACAATCGGTGGATTCGGTTGTCTATGGAGGCAGAGGCCTTGTCACTTGGTGAGCAACCCGCTTTTACGGCCACCGAACGTTTGCGAAAAGTTTCGGGGGGGGGAGGGGGCCCGAAATGTGGGGGGGCACCTCTGCTGCTGAGTCGAAAAGCGCTTGTCTAAGTCTAAGGCTCTCACTCTCCGAGTACCGGCGTTCGCCTTCCAAGAGAGGGACCAGATCTACTTCTGAAATCAAGGAGCCAGAGTCTGCACATCGCACGCGCTTGCTTCATCCTCTTGGCAGAGTCCGGGTGGTTTGGGATATTTGTGGTCTTTTGCTGCTTATGGCTGATACCTTCCTTTTGCCCCTCTCCTTGGCCTTTGAGTTGAGCTCGGGTACTCAAGACACTGGCAGTTTCTTACTGCTCTTGAACTACCTTGGTGGCATGGTCTTCTGGACGGTGGACCTCTTCATGAATTTGAACACTGCCTTCTATGAGAGGGGCGCCTTGGTTTTCGATCGCGTGGCCATCTTGAAGCATTACTTGAAGACGTGGCTGCCGGGCTGCAGTGAGTAAGTTCGCATGAGTTGTAGAACATCTAGCGGCCAACTGCATGCACAGGAGAACCAGGGGAAGAAGTTCTTTTGTTAAACATCTACGCAGTATAGGAAGCTGTGCACCAGGTGCATGTGGAATGCACACCAGAGCCTCGGAACGTCTTGTCGACGACAGGCTCGAACAAGGACACACACCGCAGCGAACCCAGGAAAAGTGCGGAGTGTCCCAGCTTTTCAGTTAGCTTTAGATTGACCCTATCTTTGACATGGTAGCGGAGCTGCCGTTCCAGGAACCAGAGGCAGCGATGATGCTACACATAGCAGGAGTAGGAATCGTCCTCATAGCCATGATGGCTTCTCTCGTCTGTGGGATGATGCAAATGTGGAAACAGGAAAAGAACGTCGAAGTCCGAGAGTTCTTCGAGTACCTCCCCACAGTCCGGATAGCAACAAGAGCAGGAAGAAGGTACCACAAACCAGGTTGTGCTCACATCAGGAACCTGACGGTTGCTGGTGGAAGAGTGAGGGACTTTGCCCCTTGCTTCAATTGCTTCCCTGAACGATACACGATTCAGGAAGTGAAGACGAGGAACATGAGATGCTACGGAATGGCAGCAGGCATAGTGCTGCTGGTTGGTTTTGCCCTGGGGAGCCTCGCCACTTTGTGCGGGATGAGCATGACTCCAGGAAGATATGGCTTCGAAGAGAATCCGTGGCAGGCCCTTGGACCCGGAAGAGCCAAGGATGAACTTGCCCTTGGAGATGACAGATCCTCCAAGGAAGAAAGACGTGGCATTCTCAGAAGAACTACGACAAGTACTCCGTGAACCAGGACTTCATGAATGCCTACACGATTAGGAGCATCGACATGTACATGAGTGAAGAAGATGAGAGCCTTGAGTCCGGCTACGCTCCTAGGTACCTAGTAGATAAGAAGCTAGAAGAAGGAAAGTTTCACAATGTAGAAAAGATCCCTTTCAAGGAACAGTTCGAACAGCTAGAAAAGAAGTTTCACGACGTCGTGCACAGCTTAGTGTTTGAAGGAATTCATCTCGTAGTTTTCGCAGGAACACCTCTAGGAATGATTACTTGGATCATCCTATCGTACTTCTCACGATTGTTCTTTACAGCAGTACAGAAAAGAACGAAGAGAGCGAAAGAGCCCAAAAGGAAAAGCATGAGGAGAAGAGCAGAAGTGAGGAGACAGCACAAGACAATGTTTCTTGTTGTGCTTGTGTATAGCAACTTGGAAGCAGCCAAAGGAATGGAAGATGCACTACAGAGACTTGCAGAAATCAACCAGCAAACGCTTCAAGGAATACAAACCTTAGCAGAAGAGATGAGGAGCAGTGCAGCAGCCGGCACAGCCCGTCACAGCAAGCTTCAGCAATACACTGCAGGCAATTCAGCAGCAGAGTGCAGAGGCACAGCACACTTTGCTTCAAGCACAGGAAACAGCAGTGACAACTTTCGAGGAGATCGGAAGCAGCCTAGAGAGAGCAGTGAAGGGAAGAAAGCCAGGTGACGTTGAGCTTCACAAACTCATCAAGCCTCCAGAAGTATTTTCTCCAGGAACTTGGCAAGAAGAGAAGAATGGTTTCATGGAGTTCAAGCAACGACTTCGAGTCTGGCTTGGCGCTATGGATGAAGATCTTGTGGAAACCATGGACCTCGTGGAGAACGACCTAAGGAAGAATGAAGTGCTGGACATGAAAGATATGACTGATGAGGCCAAAACGCAAAGCAGGAAGTTGTATAGCATTTTAGCGTCTTACACCAAAGGCAGACCGTATCGTGTGGTTCGCCATACGACAGAAGAGAACGGTATGGAAGCCTATAGGATGCTGTTGTTAGAATACCAGCCTGTGAATAGAGCAAGATCGCTGGAACTTTTCCACAACATCATGAATTTCCGTTTTGCCAAGGACAAAGGCATTCGCTTACGCAGTCCCAAGGAACACCCTATAGGACCACTACTGACCTAATCGACAAGGGAGAAGATCATCAGGGTGTTGCAGCCATGGATGTGTCTCAGGCTTGGAAAGGCAAAGGTAGAGATTGGTACGGGTACAAAGGTAAAGGAAAGAAAGGTGGTAAGGATTCAGGCAAGGATTCAGGCAAAGGTGGTTTTAAAGGTCGAGGCAAAGGAAAAGGTAGAGGCAAAGGCAGAGGTGGAAACTGGAAAGGCCGAGGTAGAGGCTTTAGAGGTTTCAAAGGCAGAGGAAAAGGCTACAAAGGGTTCAAAGGTAGCTACAAAGGTAAAGGCAAAGGAAAGGCCCAAGCTACAGGAGTTTGTCATTACTGCCAGAAGTATGGACACTTTGAGGCCCAGTGTAGGAAGAAACAGAGAGACATGGGGTACACGGCTAGGAATGTAGAAATGCAGGAAACTCAGAGTGAAGCCCCAAGTAGAGGAACAGCCTCAACCCAAGCTCCAACATCGAGAACAGCGACAACATCAGCCAGTTCATCAGGTCAAGGAACCCAGAAGCCGATCATCAGGATGGTAACAATGCACCACATCGGTGATCCACCGACCAGCTTTCCTGAGGAGTTCGAGCTGAGTGAAGACTCTGAGGAACTTGAAATTGATTACTTCGGGAGAGTTTTGATGGTTTCGGCTAGTTCAGGAATGTCAGAGCAGGAATTTCAGATTGGAAGTGAGAGTGATGAAGAGAGTGAAGACATAGAGAAGGACCCCTTGTACTGTTGGTACCACCTCAGAACCAGAGAACTTTGTTAGGACAGTGAGAGAGAGCCCAGGTGCAAAGGAAATTGAGGTTGTGCTTGACTCAGGCGCAGATATCTCATTAGCCCCTATGTGGATGCGAAATTTCGGTAGGAAGGTCCCGGACCGACGCAGGATTGAACTCCGAGACGCTCAAGGAACTAGGATAAAGGTACAGGACCAGCGGGTTATTGAGGTTGAGTTTGAGGATGTTGGTGGAAACTGTGTGAAGGTTGAGGAAGTCTTCTTGATTTCATCAGTTGTTCACCCTCTCTTAGCTGTAGGAAAATTGTTGAAGAAAGGTTGGGAATTTCGGAACGGTAGTGAGACAGGAACTTTCTTGGTTGAAGGAAACACTTCCATAGCAGTAGCGTACAACAACAATTCCCTCACCGCTAAAGCTTTTGTCAGGACAGTCTCAACATCCCAAACAACAGGAGTCCCTACGCCAATCTATCTCTGTGAAACGCTTAGGAACCTCGTAGCTGAAGGTCGAATTGGATGGACAAGTGTGACCGAGCCCTATGTAGTCCACTACAGCCCAAAGAGCTCAGAGCATGTTGACCCAGCTATGATGTATCCTCAAGGAAAACATCCTTTCAGAGCTGTTTTGGTTAGAGACACCGAAGGCTGGCAGCTCTTGCACTACAACGAAAGGTATGAAGAGCTAGAAGAACCTTTTGGCCACATCTATGATGAGAGCCAGAACTTTGAGGTATTGACCTTGATCTCGTCCAAGGCATTTCCTCCTTACCTCATAGGAACACCCAAGAAAGAGGAAGACAGACGTACATTTGAAGAGTACACTGATGACAAGTGGTCTCTTAGCAAGGATGGAACTGAACTGATCAGGTACCACCACACGCCCAGGAAGACACGTTTTCATCCGCTCGACTTGAAGGACATTCCCGTAGAGCGTGAGAACCTCCAGAACGATAGATCCACCTACGGAGAGGACCCAGTGAACCATGAGTTCTTTGAGGACAAGATGCCATGGATTGCAGATGAGTATGACGAGTTCTCATCACCTTTCGGAGTGAGATCATGGACAGGACAGTCTAAGTTCAGGTTGGTCTACCCAGTAGATGGTTCAAAGGCCCAACAACAGGAACAAAGGCTCAAAACAGTCCCGGAGAATGAAAGCATGGAGATTGACGAACAGGAACCACAGGCCCCTGCACACAGGTATGAACTTCATGGAGAACTTACGTTCATTTATGATGGTCATGAGTACAACCAGCAGAACAGCCTGAAGATCCTCAAGGAATTGTGTACAGAACTTGGAGTGTCTAAGAATGGCTCAAAACAGGACCTCCTTAGAAGGCTCAGTAGGAAGATCATGGAAGATGAGAGACGGTTAGGACTCAACACTGCTCAGAAGAAGTACCAGGAATATGCCATTCCACAACCGCTCAAGGACCAAGTCATGCCCAAACCTGAAGAAGTTGAGGTACACAATTTGACACATTTACCGTATGCCACTTGGTGTCCAGTATGCGTTGCGTGCAAAGGAAAAGAGTCGCCACATCCAACTCAAAGCCCTGAGAAGGAACGATCGTCTAGACCCACATTGTGTATGGATTTCTGTTTTACAGGAACAAGTCATGATGAAGCCCCGACAGCAGTCAGCTTGGTTTGCATTGACTCTTGGAGTAGGAGCATTGCTTGCATTCCAACTGCAACCAAAGGAAAAGGTTTGATTGAGCACATTGGCGAAGGCGTTACGTACATGAGCACTCAACTTCAGTACCAGACTATCAATTTGAAGGCAGACAATGAAGGAACCATGAAGAAGCTCAAGCAGATCATCCTGAAACAAAGGTCAGCTCTAGGACTAGGAACAACCCTTCAAGATGCAGTTTCAGGCCAGAAGGAAACAAAAAGGCATGGCAGAGCGTGCAATTCAAACTGTGCGTAGGCAAGCCCTCACGTTGATTCAAGGTTTGCAGGAACAGGCAAAGGTGTTGATAGCACATACTCACCCCTTGTTCAGTTGGGCATTCAGGCATGCAGCTTGGATTCTGAATAGGTACCACAGACACAGTGCTACTGGTGTGACACCTTATGAGTTTGTTGCAGGAAGACCTTATGAAGGAACACTTTGCCAGTTTGGTGAGAGTTTGATGGTCTTGGCGAACAGGACTGGCGTCAATGTCAAGAAAGGTGACCCTCAATGGCTGAGAGGAGTTTTCTTAGGAAAGACTGACAACAACCTCTTCATTACGTGGCACATGGATGGCATCAAGACCAGTAGATCTGTGAAGAGATGCCCCCATCATTTTGACCTGGAAGCACTAACTAGTGTAGGAATCCACACTTGGGAAGTGAAGCACACGACGCTCACAACTCGCGTAGTTCCTAGGAAGAACCTACCAGGCCCCTCAGGAACACCAGCGCCTGTGACAGTGGTGGAGCCTCTAGGAGATCAACATGGCATTGGAGCCATTACTCCTGGAATACAGACACCTGTCATCGCAGGCGGGGCGAGTACACCAAAACCGTTAGGAACAGTCACCCCAAGAAACACGAACCTTCATGCAATGGCAAAGAAGGCAAAGGAACAAGAACAACTGCAAGCAGAACCTGCAGCGCCTGAGTGGATAGACCCAGGACCTGATGAGGCAGGCAGTGATGCAACGCCTACAAGTCAGCTAAGTCATCTGCAAAACAGAGGACCAGAATCTGATGAAGCAGGTAGTGACAGCATGAGCACTGATCAAGAGGTCATGCAAGAGAGCCAAGGGAGTGAACTTTTGTTGCCAAGAGCACCGTCAGCAGTCAGGAAGCATGAGTATGAAGACGTAGGAACTTCGTCCAAAATCCCAAGGACCGACGAGTCGCCGAAGAGGAAATTTCCACCGTTTAACGCAGGACGCGTGTTTGAGCACAGTGACGAACCTCTCCCTGAGCCAGGACTTGACGACATCTGTTGGGAGGACACATACTCAGATATAGGAGATGAAGAAGAAGAAGACGAAGAGGAGAGAGAGAGAGTTTTCAACGATGAGGACGCAGGACCACCAGAGCTTTCAGATGAAGAGCTCAAGGCCAAGGACAGAGAGGCCATGATCACCGAGATGGAGAGACTTTCAGGAATGCAGGCACTGGCTAGGAAACCGCTGGAGGAACTTGGTTGGCACAAGAGAGACAATGGAGAGAATGAGAGAGAAGAGATCGAACAGGAACCCATAAAATGGCTCACAACCAAATTCGTGTTCGATTGGCGGTTCAGGTCAGGGTCTTGGAAAAGACGGGCTAGGCTAGTGGCTCGTGAATTTAAAGGAACTGAACAAAGAAGCGATGTGTTCTCACCAGCCACGTCAGCAAGCCTCACAAGGTTAGTCCCCGCGATTGCTCTTCAGGAAGAGTTTTCAGTCTACAGCATTGACGTCAAAGATGCGTTTTTGCAAGTACCCCAAAGGACTAGAACGGCGTGTGAATTCCCGAAGGAATATGTGGAGCTGTTTCAGGACACTGATCCCTCTTGCCCTCAGGAAGGACTACTCTTGCTCCGAGTGTTGCCAGGACAGAGAGACGCAGCTTTGCTTTGGTCGGATCATTTTAGTGATTCGCTTAAGGAACAAGACTTTGAGAGAAGTGTAGCTTGTCCAACTTTGTTTCGAGACTCAGGGAAAAGCATTCTTGTGGTTCATGTTGATGACATTCAAGCAGCAGGAAAGAGTCATTATGTCGACCCTGTACTAAAGAGCTTAGGACGAGTGTACGAGCTGAAGATTGAAGGACCGTTTCTTACCGCGCAGGAACTTGCTATTGGCGAGTCGCTTCAGACGGTGAGATTTCTCAAAAGGAAGTACTCGTATCACAATCATGAACTTCACATTCACAGTGACCCAAAGTATCTGGGAAAACTTCGTGAAGAACTCAAGTTGACAGGAAAGGCATCAAAGCCGACGCCGTGCACACAGGAGAGCCAGGCAGTAGACAACACAAACCCTCTTGACCAGGAACAAGCAGCTTCGTTTAGGAAGTGTGTAGGAATCCTCCTATATGTTTGTCAGGACAGGCCGGATCTGCAGTTCGCAGTAAGAGGTTTAGCGTCCAAGATGTCATTGCCAACATTTGCAGCTAAGAAGCAGTTGATTCATGTTGTGCAGTACATGACAAAGACAGATGGTTACCATTGCACGTATAGGAAAACACCGCGAGGAATGTCAAACCTCAACGAGAGCATTCGCAACGGAACCTATGACTTTTCCCAAGTCAAACCCAAGGAACATCACTTGTTGGAGGTATACTCCGATTCAGATTGGGCAGGACAGAAAGACAGTCGTCGCAGCACAAGTTCAGGAACTGTGTTTCTGGATTCTCAACTGATCTATGCATTCTCTAGGACCCAAAGGAGTATTTCTCTGTCTTCTGGAGAGGCAGAATATTACGCCGCAGCTAGTTCAGCTAGTGACTCTTTGTTGCTCAAGGAAGCGATAGAATTCCTCACCTGTAGGAAGTGCGTAGTGCATTTGCATCTAGATTCTCCCGCTGCTCGTGGTATCATTACCAGGCAGGGAGTAGGAAGAGTGAAACATTTGCAGATTAGGACCCTCTTTCTCCAGGACCTCCACAAACAAGGAATTCTTAGTGTCCACCCGGTAGGTACCAGGGATAACACTGCTGATATAGGAACTAAGCCGCTTTCAGGAAAACGCATTAAGTTGTTGATGCATTGGCTAGGCTTCAAGGACGAACAAAACCAACCAGTAGGAATTGAAGAGCTTCAAGAACATCGACAGCAGGAACAAGCTAAGGCCACAGTCAAGAGAATCAAGTCCAAAGGAAACTTCGCATTTGCAGCTTTGTTGTTCTCTTTGCTTTCAGGAAGTTTGGAAGGTTGCTCAAAGGTTGAAGTAGCTTCAGGAACATGTCTTTTGCAGTCGTGCAGTACATGTGTAGGAACTGTGCAGGAACATGTCGGCATGTGCAGTGACACGAGTGCATGTGCATTAGGATTGCAGGAACAGCTTGAAGTAGGAAACATTTGCAGCTCGATGCCTCGAGTGAAGGACCTCTGTTTTAGGAACCCTGAAAAGGAAGAGACAGTAGCTGTAGAGAAGGAAGTAGCAGCTATGGAACCGAGTGCCTCCGAGAAGGAACGTTGGTTCAGAGAGCTCACCTCTCAGTTGAATCAGTTGAAAGAAGCCCAAGGAACCACGAACGTGTTGCTCAGAGAACAGCGTCGCGAACAGGCAAGCCTCAAGGAACAGATTGAGGACCAACACCTGCGAGATGTGGAGTTGCTCAGGCACTTGAAGGAAAGGATAGAAGCTTTGGAGACCAAGATCGCCGAGTACGATAAGGAAGAAGAAGAGATCAAAGGAATGATTTGGTGGAAGCTTCAAGAAGAAGAAAGAGGAGCAGAGATGGAAAGAGAGCTACGAAGAACAGGACATGGTCGAGGAGAAGAAGGAAGTAAAGAAGAAGAAGAAGGATCGATTTCTACCACACCAAGATCTTCGTCGGCGTCTACTACATCAACGCAGGAGGAAAAGAGGAAGGAAAAGGAGAGGAAAGAGAAGATCAGGAAAGTGAATGAGGAGCTGAGGAAAAGAGAAGAAGAGGAGAAGGAAAAGGAAAGAGGTTTTGCGTACCCCTACGACGACACCGAGTACAAGATCTACGTGGAGAATGGCAAGGTGTACAAGCAGCACAGGATCACGGGCGAGAAGGTCGAAGTTGGCGTCGACTACGTCTACAAGCACCAGAAAGGAAAGGAAGGAAAAGGAAAAGGACCAGGAAAAGGAAGCACCAAGAACACAGCCACAGGAGCGAGCAGCAGCTCTGATAAGCAGGCAAGCGCAGCAGTCGCTGAAGCAGCAGGAGTTACACCACAGGAAGAAGGAGCCACGCAGGAAGCAGAGAAGCAGACAGAGAAGGATGAGAAGAAGTGGCAGAAGGAACGCGAAAGGCGAGAAAGGATCAGGAAGAGGAAAGCCGAGGAGAAAGCCAGGAAGGAGAAGGAAGAAGCAGAAGAGGAAAGGAAAAGACAGGAAGCCACAGCAGAAGAGGAAAGGAAGAAGCAGGAAGCAGCAGCAGAAGAAGGAAGGAAGAAGCAGGAAGCAGCAGCAGCAGAGGAGAGAAAGAAGCAGGAAGCCGCAGCAGAAGAAGAAAGGAAGAAGCAGGAAGCCGCAGCAGAAGAGGAAAGGAAGAAAAGGCAGGCAGCAGCAGCAGCAGCAGAGGAAAAGGACAGGAAGAGACGAGAGGCAGCAGCAGCGGCAGAAGCAGAAAGGAAGAGACGAGAGGCAGCAGCAGCAGAAGCAGAGAGGAAGAAGCAAGAGGCAGCAACAAGAGAAGGAAAAGAAGATGAAAATGAAAGTTTGAGGATTGAGATGGCCCAGCTTCGTGAGTTGGTCAGAGGAATGAAGGAACAGCAAGCCTCAGACAAAAGGAAGATCGTCTCGCTTCAGGAAGAGCTCAAGAAGGCCACAGACAGTGAAGGAAGCACAGGAGAAGGAAAGAAGAAGGACAAGGCGATTGGCCCACAGGATCGAAGCCAATTCAGAGTTGGAGGAAGTGAAGGAGCTCAGGAACTGTATGCGATCTTTCCTTACGAAGGATCAGATTTCCAGTGGAAATGGGTGCAGGCCACAAAGGCATGGCTCTACTACGACGTGAACCAGAACTTGTGGATCAAGGACAGCGAAGATGAAGATGGAGGAAGGATCTGCAAGGAACAGGAGAAGCAAGTGAAAGGATGAAGGAAGGAAAAGAAGCGAAGGAGAAGAGAAGCAAGGAAAAGCAGAGGAAGGATCAGCAGCGCTCAGTCGAGCAGTGAGGAGTGAGTTTCAAGATGAGAAGGAAGCCAGAACAAAGGATGGAGTATCCGTTCTACTGGCAACTTTCAGGAACTTTGTTTTCGCTTTTGTTGACTAAAGGAAAATGATCCGAGTAATCAACTTAGCCCACGACAGTCGAAGCTAGCTTAGTCTAGGAACGACTTTCACCAGCTTCGAAGGCGGGGTGTTAAACATCTACGCAGTATAGGAAGCTGTGCACCAGGTGCATGTGGAATGCACACCAGAGCCTCGGAACGTCTTGTCGACGACAGGCTCGAACAAGGACACACACCGCAGCGAACCCAGGAAAAGTGCGGAGTGTCCCAGCTTTTCAGTTAGCTTTAGATTGACCCTATCTTTGACATCTTTCCAAACTCATCCCTAGTTTCGCACGTAGCTTCAGTAGTGAAGTGGCTCGAGAATAAGGCTTCTGCTCGATCTTGCTGTCGTTTCTTTGGACTACGTTACCTTGGCAAATGTCCTGGGTGGTGATGCTGGAGGAGACCTCCAGGTCTTGCGCTTCATGCGCAGCCTGGCCGGGAAGAGCCTCAAAAATCACACCATATCACACCATGCGAATGTCTTAGTAATTTCTCGTAATGTGCTTGCAAAGTGCGAATCGAAAAACTCAGAGAAGCGCCTCGCAATCAAGGGTGGTGCTACAGAGGTAGATTGAGCGAAGGAGGAAACGCAGCATAATGCACAGGTACATCCAAAGAACGACCCGGAGGAATAGCTTGCGTGAAACCGGTGTTGACAATCAGCCCTCATACTGCTATCGCACAAAGACACGTGCTGATCAGCTCCAGGATTCGTTGCGGTGTGTAGTTGAGCCTGTGCGGTTGAGCCGACCACGAGAAGCGCCCGACTGCATGCTTACCCAAGACTTCGCATCAGATGGCGTCAGATGGACCTCCTTTCCGAGACTCCCGAGCCCTGTCATTTCTCCTCAGCTTCCCAGTATTTCCCAATCCAAGAGAGCAGAGAGCGAGCCAAAGGGCGAGAGACTCGAGAGACTCCTGCCAGTCCGCACTTCCATTTGACCCCATTGGCCCCATTGGTCACGTAAGAGAGAAGAGCCTTAAAAGGCGTCGCTCGAGCCTTGCGCTTGCTGCGCTTGCTGAAGATGGGACGCTTTGACGATGCTTGGGACCGATGATGAGCAGCAGTTGCTCAGGAATTTTATTCAACAAAAGAGGGCCTCCCTAGGTTTCTTGGAGTGCTTTTGAAGTTCTTTTACTGAGCCCTTTTTGAAAGCCAAGGACATGATGCAAGAGATTGCCGCCTCCACAGGGCGCCAGTGGATCATGCTGGTCGTCGCCATTATCAACACAACAGTGGCCATCCTCTGCATCGCCCACGTGATGACGTGCGCTTGGGTGGGCATTGTTCTCTACACCGATCGAGAGGATAACTGGCTGACCTTGTCCGCCATGGCAAATGCAGAGCCAGGTTCGGATCCTTCCTTGGATCCGGTGCTGAAGTACTTGCATGCCTTTCGCTTCATCCTCAACGCGCCGTCGCCACCTTTACTGGCAAAGGACAGTGTGGTGGAGCGGGTCTTTGACATCCTGACCAACATCTTCACCTTCGTGGTAATCGGCGGTACCGTCTCCAAATTAGTCGGGACTGTCTCGGAACTTCGTAGCATGAACGCCGCGAAGTCCAGGCAGCGCATCGACTTGCGCCTCTATCTCCAGAGCCAAGATGCATCGTTCGAGCTCATTTCGCGTGTCTTAAAGTTTGCTGACTACAAGCTTGACAAGATGGTGCCAGCAACTTTCGATCCAACCTTGATATCTCACACCTTGCAGACGGAGATCTCCGTGAACCAGAGGGCCCGATTTATCAAGATCGTTCCCATCTTCGACTTGACCTGGCAGCTCTGGCCAGAGGTCTTTTCAAGCATTTGCGTGGTGCTTCGAAAGGTCGTGTGTGAGCATCATGAGGAGGTTTTTACTGCTGGTGACTTGTCCACCTTGCTCTACGTGACAGTCACGGGAGAGTTCCGCCACGTTGAGGGCTTTGAAGGGCAGGGTGAAGTCACCGAGCTTTCAGGCTGGGGACCCAGACCTTGCCGGCCTTGTTCTTGGGCTTGTTCTTGGGCTTGCATGTGCTTGCATCATAGCTCTTAAGATGCTCAAGAATGTTCAATTTCAAGCTGGCAAGAACTGCCGGCTTCGTCTGTTCGAAGTGAGGTCCGGGGTAGCAGCGACTCTTGAACTCACTTTCTCTCCATAGAGATCAGAGGCAGTGGGCGTGAGGAGGGGCTTTAGTGCTCGAATGCTCTCAAGATGCGCGAAGTGCACATTGCGCCTTTGTTGCGCGCACACCCAGGTGCCTTCTGTCACCAAATGCTTGCACACACACACACACACTACATGCGGTCATGTATAGGTTCACACAGTCGCACGCACGCACTTCGTTGTGTCTCGGGTTGATGATGTGAGTTGACAGAACCGACTCTACCCTCGCGGACATCGGCTCTCACTCAACGTCAGAGTCAGAGTGGTCAACTCTGCCCACATCCTACATCGTAGCTTTGTTGGGCACATGGCACTGTCCGAGTGTGCTGTGACCCTTTCTGTGTGTTTTTGTCCGCATCAAGCCGGTGGTTTAGAGGATTGACGAGAGCAGAAATGCTGAGCATCGAAGCCAACAGCCACAAGGCTCTTCCTATGCTGCTGGAACCTCACTCACGTAACCAACAAAGCATTAATATCACATCACTGGGCGAGCGTCGTCTCGAGGTCTGCCTATGTGCCCGAAATGAACGGAAAGCTTTGGGCCCATCCCTGCAAAAGCCAGTGCCAACGTTTGTGCATAGTTGTAGAGAGTTGCACGAAATCAGGAGCAGCACCAGGAGCGTGCTCGTCGCCAACACAGAAGACAAGGAACCACAAGTGAGCATGTTGGTGTGATTCCTTTTTGCACACACACACAGCCGTGTTCACGCACCATCTGCCCAGGATTCTGGCTCCTCTGAACACACTGACTGTTACAGTGCTGGGGGACCGCCGTTCAGTGCAGGTCACCAGCGAGTTCCACCCTCACGCTGCTGAGCACCAGCGCGCCAAGTCATAACCAGTGAAAGCGGTAAAAACTGTCTTATCATCGCCTATTCCGATCGTGAAGCTCTGAACACGTGTGCCGACTTGACCACTTTCCCACAAGCCAAAATGCTCGAAGCAGAGAGCCAAGAGCCGAGTCAAGAAAGTCAAGTGCTCTGTGATGACAGTTGCCAGGGGGCGGGGGTGTGCATGTGTGCGAAGCGAGTGCCCCTCAGCGCTGAAATACATGCTACCAATGCTACCTTGACTATCCTGGCAGATCGCAGCCTCGGAAGCTTCTGATTTTGGCAGGTGTGAACTACTTGGAGGAGCTCAGCCTGTACGTTGATGCCCTCGCGCATCAATCTTCGTTGATTGCTACCAGCTTTGCAGAGATGCCTCTTTGCAGAAGCCAGGTTCGCGGAAACGAAGAAATCAAAGAATCATAGCCTGTTGGCTGTCCGGGATCGTCAAAGGCAAAGTTCAGGGTCAGGTCCGAGTCAGCAGTTGCTGTTTCTAGGATTTTGTGCAAAGGTTCGTGCTCGATGGTGACGGGTTGGTGGAGTGCTTGCAGCACACACCCACCTGTGCTGCCATGTTCGTGGAATATGCCAAAGAGCTCGTCGCGATAATCAAGAAGTCGCCCGCCTGCACATCCTCCTGCAGTTGGCAAGGTTTAGGTTTGCGAGAGTCCTTGCCGCACAATCGCCAGGATCGGTGAGAAGGCCTCGCTCAACTTTCAGATCGAGCTCTCCGAGTCATGCGCAAAGAAGACCCAGACATATCAGGACCTGTACCCAAACCTATCTACACGACTCGAAAACGTCGACCTTTCACACATCCTCCCGACGGAGCACAGTCCCCAATCGGATTCTCTTTCTCCCGTTGCATTCACATCTTCGTCAAGTGAGACGGACGCGCAGACTTTTGTGCCGGCGTGGGGCACGGCGCTGCGATGGTTCATCGAGACTGGCTGGCCAGACAAGCTTCTAGGGCCTTCTAGGGCTTTGTGTGTGTGTGTGTGTGTGTGTGTGTGATGCTGTGGGTGTGACGCTGTGTGTGTGACTGTGAGTGTGCGTGACGCTGTGACCGTGTGACCGTGTGACCGTGTGACCGTGTGACCGTGCGACTGTGCGACTGTGCGAGTGTGCGAGCGTACGAGCGTGCCAGTGTGCAAGGTGCGAGTATGCTCGAGTGTGCGCGAGTGTGGGAGTGTGCGAGTGTGGGAGCGTGTGAGTGTGTGAGCGTGTGAGCGTGTGAGCGTGTGAGCGTGTGAGCGTGTGAGTGTGTGTGAGTGAGTGAGTGAGTGAGTGAGTGAGTGAGTGAGTGAGTGAGTGAGTGTGTGTGTGTGTGTGTGTGTGTGTGAGTGTGTGTGTGTGAGTGTGAGTGTGAGTGTGAGTGTGAGTGTGAGTGTGAGTGTGAGTGTGAGTGTGAGTGTGAGTGTGAGTGTGAGTGTGAGTGTGAGTGTGAGTGTGAGTGCTTGCGTGCGCGTCCGTCTGTGTGTCTATCTCTGCATGTGAGGGTGTCGTGCGTGCGAGTGTGCTTGGGCGTGCGCGCGCCTCGCTGTGTGTAGGTGTGATTGTGGCCGTCTGGGTGGCTGTGGGTGTGCAAGTGTGTGCGTGTGTTCGGGGGAGGAGAGACGCCCCCCTTGCACGACCCGCTCCGAGGCTTACCATTTCCGACCTTCCCGAGCAGCTGCAGACGAGCATCCCAGAAATCTCGCCAGAAAATGGGTCCCACGTGCTTTTCGAGCAGGGCTTTGAAAGAGATCGAGCCGAGTCTTCTTGCATCTGCGCCTCGGCCGCAAGACACGGGGTCTTCAAGTTCCCGAAACAATCTTGACTCCTTTTCAACACACTGCAAGCGCGCTTTTGAGGTGTGTTGGCCTTAGTACACGACCGCTACGACATCTTCACGAACGTGCAGCCGCCCCCCGCAAAGCTTCTGACGTCCCAATGGGACCAGCTTCAGCACATCATGAGATGGATCAGTCCCACCGAGGCTGAGGGCATTTTGGCAGCTCAACGCTAGCGGTTTGTCGGTTTGTCTTCTTCGGGGGTTTTCGATGTTTTGAAAACACGCGTGGGTCAAGCTGCAGATTGAGAGAGAAGCGACGTGTTTTGGAATCCTTTCTTAGGAGCAGTCTGAACCGGAAGCCTCTGAGTGCCTTTCTATTGTGTGGGCGAAGCATGCGAAGCTGCCAGGAGAAGATCCATGCGGTGCTGGTTCTCCTCGCAATCCGGTCCTTGGGAAAGTGCAAGAGGCTGGCGAACCAAGTGTGGCTGTCTGAAAGCAGCCCAGAAAACGTGGTGCTCCATTTGATTGACAGCTGCAAGAACGTCGTGCCCTCCGTGCACGGTTTGACTCCGGAGGGCTTGATGCATGCCAAAGGCGCTCTAATGTTGCACTCAATCTTCAATCTGGCACAGATGTTGCAAGGTGAAAACGTTCCTGCCAACGTGTTCCAGCTGCAGGAGAACGTGAAAAGGGATGGCTCTGAGGTACTTCGCTTCTACATCCTCTTCCTGCTCGGCTTCATGAGCGGCCTCGCTGCCGGGCGAGGCTCTAAATTCCTGACGGCAAAGCGTGCAGAAAGCGTCATCGACGCCATCCGCATGCTCAAGTACCTTCTTGAGGACTCTGCCTGCAGCATCTATTGGGGACGCTCTGCCACCTCAGGCATGTTTGAACGCACTTAATGTAGCAGCTCATAGCTTTCATCTCCGGTGATGAGACCACCAAGGATTCCTCGGGGCTCGGGCGAACGTCTTGAACGTCCCCTTCGAGACTGCGGAAGACTTGGTTCTGCTGCGTCTGGCTTGCCTTTCACGCGTGGAAGATCGAAGTGGCTACCGGCAGCTGCAGGATTTCCAGGGTTGAGACACCCGTAGTTGGAGCATGTTGAAGCGTAGGCTCGGAGATATCGTCTAGATATAACTTAGGCCAAAGACCGCGGATCCCGAAACAAACTCCCAAACTTGTTGCAACCTCACCTGGCCTCACCTCCTCGAGGTAGCCTGGCGCACGCTTGGTTCCGGTGAACAGACTACGTTGGTTCAGCATTTCCTCGCCGATGGCATTGAAGATCTGGCAATGGTGTTCGAGTTCCTGCCAGACTGCGTGGCAAACGCTGTTCGCAACCCAGCTATCGGCTTGAGCTGTCTACTGGAGCTGCTGGTCAACCTCATTCACATGTTGCAGCCGGCGGCAGCCGGAATGTTGGCCAATATGCCCGGAGCACAAGTTGTTCTTGTGAACCTCTCCGACATGAGTGAGTTCATCGCAAGCGTTCGCAACCGCTTCATCTTTGAGACTTGCATCTCCCGATGCAAGGTCAACTTTACCAATGGGCGAGTTCAACTGGAGATGACCGGCAGCAACTGGGCTCGCGTGAATGAACCAAATTCAGATATTACAAGCTTGGCGTACGGCGTCAAGGATGTGCTCCAGAAGCAGAGATCTTTGGAGACCCAGATCCTGACAAAGCTTCGCGCTGGACCAGTGGAAACATTCGATGTGTAGACGGTCCAAAAGAAGAACCCTGCGGCTGCGAATCCGCGGCCGCTCATTTTCAAGTGCACACCTTTGTGCAAGCGCTATCATTGAGGCTATCATTTAATTTTCGCAGCAATGTCTAAAAGAGAACGTGCTGCCAATTGATGGCGTGTTTCACCGGCGCTGTATGGCGCTGTCAATGTTCGTTGTCAGCTGAATGGTTGCGGCGATCGTCGCGGAGATTTCGTGCAAAAGGTGCCATTGTGCCACAGCGTTGGGCATGAAATCTGCAACGGCATGCCCAAAGCAACGACGAAGGACATCGAGAGGCCTCGCAGCCTCAATGAAAGTCCTTCAATGCAAAAGTGGAGGTTTAGTGGAATGCTCTCCTGTCCACTTTTTGGTGGGGAAGGCGGGGGCTCTCTGCTCATGGCTGGGGCCTTGTGGCTCCTTTGTCCGGCTCGGGGGCGGAGTACTTTTTTTTTTTTTATTTTTTTTTTATGGTTTTGTTTCTTTTTCCTTTTCAAGTATATATATATATATATTCACATATATATATATACATGTGTATATACAGTTTTGTATCGTTTGATTTTCTTAGGGCTCTAGTTTCGCTTCATGATGGGGTGGGGCGACGCATGCACCCAGCTATCATGATGCAATACATGATGCGGTATAGTTTTTGGAAATAATTTCCGAGGAAACGATTTCTGAAATAAATAGAGGAATTCAGAGTTTTTGTTGAGATACGGATGCCATGCGCTTGGGGCCTTCGGATTTGCTTATTTCGGGTCCTCTGGGCCCAAATTGCAGAAGACGTTGGGGGTTACTGAGAGTGCTCTTCCAATCATCTGCGCCAAAACGTGCACAGTGGTGGCCTTGAAGCTTCCGGGTTGTGCCGAAATGGTTTCGCCTTCCGAGTTGCGGCCCTTGTGCTGCGTCTGAGCACCTGCATCGGCGCATATCGGCACATCGCCTGCTCACGCCCGCATCACCTCATCTCTTTCCAGCAGCTCCACATCCAGTGGCACCACTCCGATAGAGACGAACGCCTGTGAGCTTCCGCTGTGGTTTCAAGGCCGCTGTGCACTTTGGAATGCAAAGTAGCGAGTGCTTGCCAGACCTTTGACAAGGCAGAGCGGACGTGCAGGAGTTAGTGCAGAACAGGAGAAGGCAGAGAAAGACGTAGGGTGAGGGCTCCTGGACGTTAGGCCTGACAGTCCTAGAATCATACCGGTTGGTCCTTTTGTGAGCGACCGAGCGTGTTCAACTAGCATCCTGCTTTGCAGGACCGAGCATACTCAAAGATCGTATTCAAATAGCGCTCAAGTTTTGGGGGCCCGCGCATTCAGAACACTGTACAAGAAAAACATATCCCTCAGAGGTTTGTCGTATGTCCCCTCTCTTCATGCTCGTAAGGTTTGGTGAGGAGGGCCTTAGAAGTTTGTCGCATGTCCCCCTCGCTTCGTGCTCTTAGGGTGACATCGTAAGCAACTAGCACCGCCGCGCAAGCACCTCAAGAGGAATGCGCCCACTTCATCAGCCCTCCGATCTTGAAGGAGACCTCGCCAGTCGGAGCGGTGGGGACGTTGAGACAACTTGACAGCTCTGGCGCCAACCGCACCCTTAGATTTCCAGCGGCTCAACACTGGCCGTTGGCAAAACTTGCCCCCTTTCGTTTCTCCTCTTTGCTCAAAGTTTGAGCAGCTCTTCTTCGTAGCTCGATCGCTTCTAGAGGGCGAATGAATTTCTCGTGTCAGACACATCATACACCCATGTCTGGGAACGTGCACATCTGCAGGTTTGGGCGCGACAAAAACCATCACTATGTGTGCCCATGCAAACATGCGTGTGGGCAGAAAGGCAGGTGCTTCCGGGCACATGTACGTCATGTTTTGTTATGTCCACACTACTACATGTTTGTGTCAGCACAACATGTCTCTCCGTGTGCACCCAATATGAATGGCAAGGTTGTGCGCGTCATTTTCTCTGTTTCCCGGCTGGCGCGGACGAATACCAAACACATGTTGTATTCAACGTCTTTGACAAAAGTCACAGTCCGTCGCGCATGCGTTCTTTAAGCTCCGGCAAAAGGTTGGCCCCCCGCGCATTGCAAACTCCCTGTCGTATCTGCTGTTGGAGAATTTCGGGACAACAAATCAGTACCTTAGAGTCTCAACTTCGCTCGGAACTCTGAGGTCACCTCCTGGAATCACACGTTCGTAGGAGTTGTATTGGTAGTATGCGACAGCCATATGCTTCTGCAAATGATGCTTTCGTCATCTCTCGCCAACGATTATTGTTACATATCGTGGGCCCTCCAGAATCGTAAAGAGCTGGTCAAGTGTTGGTAGCAGCATGTTAGGTCTTCCGTTTCGCCTGCTGCCACGCACTTTGAAACGGATGCCTCATCATCTAGCTCATAAACTCACAGAGGCATAGAGGCATTTTTTGTCCGCTGCCCTTTGTGATTTTGCACCGAGTTTGGAGTCATCATAGGGGACTTCATTGAGAAGTGACATTGTACCTCGTTGAAGAGTGCCTTGGAGACCGTGTTCAGCCTGTTCAGCCTGAGCTTGTGGTGCCAAAGTCTTGAAGATGATCGACTCGCAGCAATTTTTCAGTTTCCCCTCACATTTTCGGGGTTTCCTCAGTGCAAGGCCAGTAAGGGTACAACGCTGCATTCAGGACAGCACATGCCTTTATACTGATTTATGCTACATCTTCAGCCTTCTACTTACCAGCACTGCCCTGACCGTCCCCTCTCGCTTTGAGCTCTCGCTTTGAGCCCCTTCTTCTGGAGGGGGAGCGATATGGGCAACTGTTCACCTCGCAGTTTGGAAGGAGGTCACTTTGAGCATGAGCAGTATGCCCCAATGTGGGTGGTGAAGGTGGAGGATGTCCTGGAGATGACCGGGCGACTGCAGCCCCATCAGGTCTTGAAAGACCAGGGCCTGCTCGTCGAGTGGAGCTCCATGATGTTCCTCGGCCACATGCGCCTGTGCTTGTTGCTTCTCAACTTCTGATCTCCTCAGACCCTTAGTTAGAAGGAAACGGGTAATGCATTAGGCTATGCTTGGACGATGCTCCTGGGGGTGTGCGTGTCAAGATCGAATTACGCAGGTTCAGCGTCTTCGTGTCGCACCAATGGCTGGGCTTTTCTCATCCCGACCCATCTGGCGAGCAACTGCGGGTCCTTCAAAGCATCTTGAGAAATCTGATCTCAGGGCGCATCAAAGTGGAGCATGATGCCGTGTCTCAAATCAATGGCTGTCTTCGCACGCTGACACTTGCAGAATGTGGGAGGATACAAGCTGGCGCCATTTGGCTGGATTACTTCTCTGTGCCTCAGCATGTGGGTAGCAGCCCCATTGGAGAACAGCCCCAGTACGTCAGGTCGATTCCTTCCTACGTGGATCGTTGCGAGGCCTTCCTTGCTCTAACACCAAGTGCGGCCCACGAAATGGGGTATCGTTGCAATGATGACAGCTGGATACAGCGAGGCTGGTGCAGGCTCGAGTTGTGGTGCAAGACGCTCTCCACAAGATCCAGCATTCCAGTGATTCAAGTGACCGGCCATGACGTGGCACAGTTCACAAAGCCAGATTGGATTCACAACCCGGTACACTCTGGCGACTTTGCCTTGGAGGAGGACCGCCCCGCAAGTAACCGCGTCGTTCAGGCAGTTCTGGAGCACAAGCTTCGTGAGCTGCGGAGCAGGAAAAACTTGACGGCCTACCGGTTCTACAAGGCCTGCTTTCATACGATGATTGGCGTGTCTGTCGTAGAGCGAAGCATTGAGGAGTTCCTTTCCGAGTTTGCATTCTCGCTGCCACTGAAGCAGCACAGTGGCTTGGGCCCGGTGGCCTGCGCAGTTCCTCAGTAGAGCCAGTAGACTTGGTACTGTCTGACTGCATCAGGATTTTGCTCCTTTATAGGAACTAGTCCGGCAAGTAAGCTCAATGCTGAAGGGCCAAAAGCAGAAGATAGGAAGAGAGAAGGAGGCTCCACTTCTACATGCAAACTGTAGATTAGGCGGAAGCCTCGTCGAGAATTCAGCAAGTAAGGCGCTGGCAGGCGACAGCCAGCTGGTTCGCAGCCTTGCCTCGTCCAGGGCTTCTGTAAACACACTGGCGCCAGCAATGCCTGAGGTCAACAGCGTTTCAGGCCTCTCCCCGTTGCATTTGGCTTGCATGTTCAGAAGCCACGACCTGAAGCTCTTGCACACGCTCCTGGAGCTCAGAGCCGACATCAACAGCTCCAATGGGTTCCTGAGCACTCCCTTGGGATGGTGTCGCACAGCAGGCGCTGTTGAGCTGTTAATTCGACACGGTTCTGGAGTAAATGAATGGGGAAACCTCATCTTTCATATGCCCCCGGTCGAAGTTGCTCTTGGATTGCGTGCCCCATGTGAAGTCCTGGCGAAGCTTCTGGAGCTCAGAGCAGATGTGACAAGCTCATCACCCTTTTTTTCAGTCGCCTTCGCAGGTGGCTCCAACAACAGTCTGAATTCGGCACGGATGTTGCTGGGAAGCAAGGCCGATGTCAACCAGCGCCAGCTGGTTGTTGGTATCGAGCGGAAAATAGAGCTGGCAGCGAGGGCCTACTGCCTGTGCTGCAGAGAGCCTCCAATCCTGGCGAAGTTCTTTGCAAACATCAGCACCACTCCACTAGGCTATGCGGCCATGTTCAACAACGAGGACTTCCTGATCTTCCTTCTGTGTGCCCGGGCGGATCCAGAGATCAAGAACAACCGAAACCTGCGTCCGATAGATCTTGCCAGCTCGGAAAGAATCCGACAGCTGCTGCGGGAGAGGTTAGAGTGGTGTGAGCCGTGTCCACTGGTCTCGAACGTTTCGGACGTGTCGTGGTTTAGCATATAGCCTATGCCCCCGGCTTGCTGCCGAACTGGGGAGTGTGGGGCTGCCGTTGGAGAAGCATACATGTTAGTAAATATTCACATATATATATATATATGTATATATTTTGATATGCATAGTATTACTATAATGAATACATGCGCAAATACAAAAACAAAGCACAAACAAATACATGAGAATAAGAATAAGAACAAGAATAAGAATAATAATAAGAATAAGAGTAAGAGTAAGAATAGGAATAAGAATAAGAATAAGAATATGAATATGAATATGAATAAGAATAAGAATAAGAATAAGAATAAGAATAATAACATATATATATATATATATGCTTAAAAGCATACACATGTATGTTTTGTCACAGAACGGTGTGTAGGGGGGCCAGCTCATTAACGTGTGCTTCAAAGGAGCACGTGACTGCAGCCGTGTGCCGTGTTTTGACTCAATTTTCATGCACCGGTCCCTCGACGCCACAGCAACGACACGGCGAAAAGATGTGATCGGAGGCTTGTGGAGGTTTGGGAGTCCTGATGCTCGAGCGCAGAGGCTCGGAGAGAGACCCGGTAGTGCACTATCGGAAACATTGCTGAAACAACAGAAGGCAGCACGGAAAGCTGCAGCAAGAAAGGGCCCCCTTTTTAAAAGAAGGCAGCTAAGCTTAGGGTTTAGAGATGCTGAGTTCAAAAGTTGAGAGGACACTGCTGGTGCATTACTCCCTTCAAAGCACCCTAATAATCTAAGCCTTTCTTAACGAAGGAAAGCGCTTTCTGGCATTCTCCACCTTCCCGACCCTTGCCAGGAAGTCTGCAAATTATGTGGTGTCAACCCGTGGTTGATGTTATCAGCATGTCGCAGTCCCGCAGTCCCCTGTTGATTCTGCATGTGCTGTCTTATTGGCTTCGGAGATCGGCCTCGAGGTTGCTGTTGAAGCCCTTTATGCACCCGGGGAATTCGAGGGGTACAAGTGGAGACTATGGCCCGCCTCTTGTGACTGGGGGCCTCTTTGTACTTTACGGTCGGAAGCCTGCAGGCATCGTGTATCTGCAGGATTGGTTCGAAGGTAGCTCCTAGGGGGGTACCCGTACCTGCGGCGGCGGCAGTCATCTGGCGCTCTCGATTTCGCTGAGCTGTCGGCGCACAAAATGTCGTTGTCCATACATGCTAGCCCTGCTATGTTTCCGAGAACAAACGGGTACGAGTGATTTAAGTCATGTGAACATCAGCGGCCGGTATGCCCAAACAGTGGGTGTCTGAGACCAGTGCGGAGCTGTTCCGTCCAGCCACTGAGGCCCGCGAGCGATTGGGGGACGATGCCTGCAGGCTTCGCAGAACATTCGGCCTGGGTTGGAGCTGTCCGAACGCCATCTAAGCTCTACTTCATAAGCCGCATGGGGGCGTTACGAAAATAAGGGAACCCTAAAATGGACGCCCAAATAGTAGGATTCCCTTAAAGTCAGGACCTCAAGAAGGCACCCCCTAATTTCGGAAACCCCCAAATGTAGATCATGAGGTCGGTAGAAGCCCTCTCCTGGGCTGTATTGTACAACCCGTATTGCTGTGATTTCAAGAAAGCCAAGCCGCTTAACAGGGAGTGCTGCGCCGCTGAAGAGGGACTTGCGAGCAAGCGAGGTGTCTAGTCCCAAAAGCCAAGGCCTAAACCTAAACCCAAAGCCTAAACCTCCCTGCGGTCCAGAGTCTTTTCTAAAGTTTCTCTCCATGCACTTTCCATGCAGAAGTTGAAACGAGGTTTGCGCCTGCAGACTCTCTACACTCCCAACTGATTAGAGCAGGCACCTAAACCGTATGAATCCTTTCAACCCTTTTGCAGAAGCACATATGTTCAGATAGCCGCTCCAAGGAACCATAGAACCTTCAGCTGAAGAGGAGCCCTAACCCTAAACCCTCAACCACAGTGGTGGTTGATTTCCAGCGATGCGCTTGGCGACAGGCCCTGCCAACAGCGCCGTGACCCCTGGAAGGTTTTCAATTCGGAGGTTTCTTAGTCTGTCAGGCATTCGCTTTCCATTGTACGGGTTATGCCCTATCACCTGTTATTTGGTAGGGGGGGGCTACAGGCAATTCTGGCTTTAGCGTTAGGATGTGGGGCCTTGTTACAAGGTTCCAAGAAGGTTCCCCAATTTGGGGAACAGTACATTCGGCAAACCCACAAAGCTCTTTTGCGGTAGCTTTAGTCAATTCACGGGGTTCTTCCGCGGCGTTTGGTCTTTCAGGTTTAGAGTTCTTGGGGGGTTTGCTTTCGAGTCTTCATGGTGGTCTCCACGATTTCGACTGAAGCTTCTTCCTCTGGACTTGCCCAGCCCTATACCCGCCAAGACGTTGCTGCTACAACAAGATCCTCTAGAGTTTGTTCTGAAACGACAAATGCCAAACCTTGAGCCATAAATCCCTGAATGCTTAAACCCAGTCGGCAGACCTCAAACCCTGTAAGCCTGAAGCCTTGCAAACTAGACTCATCAGCCTGCGTGCCCCCATGCGACAGAAAACTAGGCTCTACGAAGAAGCGCCGCGGTGTTCGTGCCGGGGGTGCCGCGGCTGTGAGTGTACCGCGGGAATCTAGGTTTCCCTCCCACCGTTGCAGCTATATATGAACGTTCCACTAGCGAGGAATACTGAAACTTGATGTCTACAGACAAACTGCAGAAGAAAATAGGTGTAGGATTTTGGCGTCACACTGTTCATGGGGAGCTACGGGGTTTGATAAGCGCGTAAAGATTATGCAATCATGCCTCTGCAGGTCCTATGTGGCCGACGCAACCCCAAGATGTTCTGCGGTATTCTGTGGGGCTGGTAACAGTCATTTCGCTGTGGGAGGCTTGTGGTGTGACCAATGCCATGGTTATGGCAGGAGGAGTATGTTAGCAAAGCCCTGGCTCGTGGCAGCCGTAGCCCTTGCTGCCGCAGAAGCACTTTAATTCCACTGACGACCCATTCGTGGCGTATTCAAGGCTTTGTCGCTCACATTGAAATAGCTTGACACTTTGGTTTTCGACCTTCAGCAACTTGGACTGCGAGGCAACTGGACCAACTGCTACAGTTCATACGGGATGAGGTGTTGAAGTCGGGGTAGGAGGCTTGTCTAAGGTTTGCACGAGCATGGACAAATGGTACAGGCATCACGACTGTCCCGGTAGATCTGAGGGCCCGGTCCTCTGAAGGAGAGATCTTCCGAATTTGTTTGCGTGTGAGGCGACCTCGCACTGCTGGTGATGCAGACCTGACTTGTTCAGACGAACTCGTCTCCTTTGCTATTCTAGGGTTTTGGAACGTCGGGGCGTCAACACTGATGCGATTTGGGCTTCGGTCCTTCCCCCATAGTCCCCATGCCACTCTTAACCGATCGGGTAAGGCTCATGATTCACGAAGTTATGACCCACGTTCGTCATATTTTCTGGGACTGGACCCTGTCTTGCAATCTGTCAAGCCATCATCTGCCCGCCGGACATGCGATGAAAGTCAGTCTGGAATGCTTCGGTGGAGTTAGGCGCTGTGCGAAAATGGTGCGCGCCATCGTCGCCGTGGCGGTCTCTCCGGCCCGAACAAGCAGTAAGACTCATCCTCTGGGTTCCTGATTAAAAGTATGGCGCAGTATCGCTCTAACGATTACGGCCCCTAGATTAGGGTTTGGTTGTTGCTTCCCCCTGCAACTGGAATGCCTCGACAGCGAGCCTTGACACAATCCTAACACGGGAATTGAGTACAGTAGGCTCCTGTCTCGTAGCTCAAGACTTTTCACTGTGGTCTCGTGCCCTCCGCGAAGCTTACGTGCGGGAGCACCAGGATTTGCTGCAGCAGCGCTGGGAAGATAAGTGCAGAGCAAGGAAGCAAATGATAACCCCCCCTCCATGAACTCCCCCCCCCCCCCTCAAAAGCATGATAGGTGGGGGGTTGACGAAACGACAATCAACACTGCGTTGTATGGATTGTAGCGCCCTTCTGGGGCGAAAATGGGGGGATGCTAGTTGGAGACGCTCCTTGCGCGAGAAAAAAAAGGGGGCACTAGTTGGAGATGCTCCTCGGGCGGATGCTAGTTGGAGAGCGAGAAAGTTGGAGACGCTCATCGGCCAAAATGGGGGGATGCTGTTGGAGACGCTCCTCGGGCGAAAATGAGGGCATGCCATGGGATGCTAGTTGAAGACAGACGCTCCTCCGGCAAGAATGGGGGATGTTAGTTGGAGATGTTCCTCGGGCGAAAATGGGGGGAAGTCAGTTGCAGACGCTCCTCGGGCAAAAATGCGGGGAAGCCATTTCGAGACGCTCCTCGGGGCGAAAAGGAGCATGCTAGTTGGAGACGTGTCTCGGACGAAGATGGGGGGACACACCTCGGGCAAAACAGGGCGGATGCTGCTTGGAGACGCTCCTCGGAGAAAGAGGCCGGGGATGCCAGTTGGGACGCTCCTCGGGCGAAAATGGGGGGGATGCCAGTTGAAAGGCCTAAGTGTACGGCAACGCCAGAGGGGATCATGACTGGAGGGTACTGCTGATCATGCTTCGCGTGGGTGGCTCAAAATGCGCAAGTAATCTTCGTGCATGTTTCATGTGTGCACCCCCACAATGCGCCCATAGTCTGCCTCAAGTGAGTGAAAGCAGAGCCTACTTGGCCAAAGATCAAAGCTGGAACCCCCCCCCCCCCGCCAAAGGCCCGAAGCGTGCTTAGAAAGGTGATCCAAACTGTTTCCATGCGAGGGAGGCGTCTGATCGAGCCCTTAAATGCAGGTGCACCGCTTTTGCGCATTGAACGCAGCCAGTGTTCCCAAAGCAAGCAACATTTCCAACTGGCAAGCATAGCCATTCGGATTGGGTGCAGGGGCACATTTATTTAGAGGCTGAGCGGAAGTGGAATCTCCACATGGTTTGGTTACCGTTACAGGTGCTTAGGCAGTGGAAAAATGTACGGGACAGCAAGCCGGGAGTTTCTTTCTAGGTTTTGGTGGTGAGTAGCGAAGTGGTTCGGAGACGGTCACTCGGTTTTCCATAAGGCGCGC